GGAGTTCAAAGGTATTTACCTATATTTCCCTAATAAAACTGAACTGAACTAACAACTGCAATATAACTTCCAGGCAATGCAAACGCACCATCTCCGTGGATCATATGAAGGCCGATTAAAGCGCAGAGGTCAAAGGTAAAAGATGCGCTCACCGGAAAAAGTTTATTTGCCTGACTTTTGGAGTCTGGCTTAAACTCTTCATCATGAAGAGCCGAAGGAAAGGATGGTAAAGGCACGGGTTAAGCAATATTTACAGTCCGTTCCTGCCGCAAGGCCAAATGCCTACTAAAATTCGCAGCCCTCGTGATGCCATGATTTATGCTCTGATGGCCGCGTTCTCGCTACGGGACAATTCGGCTCGCTGTCGTCTTAATTGTTAGTGGCACGCGCAAAAGCTCAGAAGGTAACAGGTGAAAAGGAAGTCATTGCGCTTGTTGATTGACTGAGGGCCTGAGAACCATGACTCGAATGGCTCGCGGCTCACGCGGTTGTCACTTCTCGAGACGATGTCGGCCTCGTCCGCCTCGCCAGATCCCTACGAGTGAGCTGCAACCAGAGAACTAGCCAGCCATCTGCAACGCTATCTGTCAGGTTGCATTTTGTTCGACTAAGAAAGAATCAACTAGAGTCAGAGCTCATATTCCTGACTATAGGCCATATGACGCGTTTTAAGGCTCTAAAATGGCGAAATACATCGGACATCGCAGACAGCCCAGTGTATGTTTGTGTGGAATGGCTAATTGGTAGACGTTAGGTCGGGCTGCAATGGCTCCTTATCAATGTAGCCTCGCTGGCTCCATCACTCCGTGGTACCGGACCCGGTGTGTTGCGGAAGCATGCTTAGGTCGATATAACCCCTGCGACAATAGCCTGCGCCCTCTCTTGTCTCTGAGAATTTTAACTTGGTCATGAAGCAAAACCCAGATTTGGGAGACGAGCCCGTATGGTAGTTACTGCGCCAATTGAATTTGACAAATTTCTGTGAATATTCCCATGCTTAAGTTGAGAAGTCTAGAAGGCAAACCTATGCTTTCAGCAAATCTTCGTCAGGTCACAACATTTGCAGAGGTATTAAAAGTTGTACAGTTGGACAGGGTTAACAAGAGTAGTCTGATTACAGTTAATCGCTGACAGGTCGCCCGCATGACGAGGTGGGCATAAAGAGGTTTTTGTGTTGGGGAAGGAGGAGAGAGGGCGAAGGACGGGGGTTGGGTTAGGTTGATCAGGGGTCAGATACATGAAGTGATAATTGCTGCTATTTGCACGAATCGAGCGACTGTTACTGGAGGGTGGGCGCCAAATGTGATCG